AGAAAATGTAATTTTTTATCCTTCTACAAAATAAAAAATATACAAATAGGTATATCGATATATGGTCAAGCTATACGCGCGCCCTCTATAATATCGCTCGTGCCGCAAATGTCGGGGCAGGCATCAATATGTTTCGATATACACATTTAATTTTTTCCCGTATTTTCGGCCGGGTAGCAAGAAAAATAGTATACACTATAGAGGTGGGAAGTTCGATTCTTTTTGGTGAATCAATTCTTTTAATTCATTCTTTTCAAATGATTCGTTCATAAAGATTCGTTCGCGACTGATTCACTTTCTGGTATAGGAACAGATAATTAACGAACAATTCAGGTTCGACCGAATTAATGACTTCCCTGTTAAAAATCACCCATAGAGACCAATAGAAACCAATAAAAAATCAGAATGGAATGAATTGGTCTTTATTGGGCCTATTGGTTTCTCAACAGAATGAGCATTGGTTTCTATTGGTAATTTCCGTACTGGAAAATGCCAATAGATTACCTAATGGTCTGAATTGGTTTTTATAAGAAGTTACAAGTAACTACAGGAAATTCCCAATTGAAATTCAATTGGTAAATACCACTTAAATGTTCAGCGCCTGCGCAATTTAATACAAATGACCACTTGTTTCTATTGGCAATTTTCTTACTGGAAAATACCAATAGATAAACTAATGGTCTGAATTTTTTATCGGTGTGTAGGTACAAGGAACCCTATTGGTATATACCACTTTGAGTTTGTTATTGGGATTTTCAAAATTCGCCAATAGGTAGGCAACCCATGCATACCTCTCGCCTCTGTAGCACAATACATAGGCCTATAAAGGTGGAATGCCTTGAGCTGCTAAGTAAGGATTCCTTACTAAGGCCAAATTACTGGCATGGAAACGCATGGCGTTTTGGAATTTTTAAAGGGGCACAGGTCGTCCTGTGGCCCACTCTGCGAAAAGTAAGCAGTGGGCCCCACTACTTACTTTTAGCTTAAAGACGTCTAAAATGGATAGTGGAGACCAATTCAAACCAATAGCAGTACCTCTGGAAAATCCAAATATCTCTTCTATTGGGAATTACCATTAACATTTAATTCACCTCTATCATTCTCTATTGGGAAATTCGATTAGTCTCTATCGGTCTGTATTGGGATTTTCCAGCGGTGTCGCTATTGGTTTAAATTGGTGATTCATGGTACAGATAGTATCTGTACCATGAATCACCAATTTAAACCAATAGCGACACCGCTGGAAAATCCCAATACAGACCGATAGAGACTAATCGAATTTCCCAATAGAGAATGATAGAGGTGAATTAAATGTTAATGGTAATTCCCAATAGAAGAGATATTTGGATTTTCCAGAGGTACTGCTATTGGTTTGAATTGGTCTCCACTATCCATTTTAGACGTCTTTAAGCTAAAAGTAAGTAGTGGGGCCCACTGCTTACTTTTCGCAGAGTGGGCCACAGGACGACCTGTGCCCCTTTAAAAATTCCAAAACGCCAAGCGTTTCCATCTGTCAGATACCACTATTGAGACCAATTCAAACCAATACCGCTGGAAAATCCCAATAGCTTTTCTATTGGTCTTTATGGGTGATTTTTAACAGGGTTGGTTCTTGAATTGTTTGTAATCATGACTTGTATTGGTTGTATCCTTAAATGAATCAACGGTTGTATTATTAAATTATTGGATTTGATTTTTATTTTGCTTACGTGTAAATTATCCTATGGCTTTTCCGGTGCAACAACAGCACAGCTTACATAAAAAATAACAAAATACAAATACCGGTTGTATTGGAAACTTTTGAATCAAAAGAGTATTTTGGTATTTGACAAAAAATTCCTTAAATACCTATCCCTAGAAATATCACCAGTTATTCAAAAAGACCGACATTTTAGCGTAGTGATCCGAACCTATAGCATTTAATTCAGTGCTGGTAAGCAAGTTTATATTTATTTTATGGTTTGATTTACCTTTTAGTTCACTCGTCGTGATTTAAAACAATGATTCAAAAAAGAATTGATTCTTTTACAAACTTTGTTCGATTCATTCGGTTCATTTAAATGATTCGTTCTTTTTGAACGAATCGGAATCAAACTTGCCACCTCTAATACACTACACGGGCGGAAAGTGTGAGAGCCCTGAACTGCCCTGATCATGGCGCGCAGTGCAGGAATCTCACACTTTCTGCCCTTGTAGTGTAATATACTATTATTTTGAATTGCTATATGGTTTCTTTAAAAATTCTCAATTTTTAAATCAAGAAAATATATTTGATTCAAGAGTATGTTTTTTTAAAATAAACCCACGCATGCGCTAAGGTACCATCCCTTTCGTCTTGACTCAGCGTAGCGTCCTTAAGGATTCTTTACATGACGGTATACCGGTGCAAGTTCTCGGTGTAATTAACGGTGGTGAAATTGTGGTATATTTTGTTGTCGTTTGTTTAATTGGAGATAACTTCATTCAGTGTTAGGTTACCAAGAATATTTTTCTGCAATTTTTTTTTTCAGGTTTTGCACTCTACCCAAGATAAAAAGTTTCTATTAGAAACACGAAACAAACAAACAATTTACAGAAAAAGCATCCATGTGAAGGGAGAAAGAACAGTATTATAATCATTTGGAAAACAACAGCTTTATATTTTCACTGTAAAAATTAAAATGAATTTCATATGAACCGATAGGGTTTATTTTAAGAATATCATGGTTTTACTTTAAAACTGTATCTTTTCAAATTAAAAATACGATTTTTTAGTACAAAAATATGTCGATAGTTTTTTTTAAAACATTTTGCTTATTTTAAGAAAACATATATGACTATAGTCTTAAATCAAAGTTGTAATAGCTATAGCTATAGCTATAGCTATATATATATATATATATATATACAGAATAAGAATTAACAAAGTTTAACCGCAAATTGACGAATTTCAATTTAAGAATTTTAGTGATTCAACATAACATTACAATTCGAATAAATACATTTCTTGTAAGGAAAAAACATTTATTTGTGTATATGGAAAACTAAGATTTGCTTGGAAGTTCCAAGTTGGAACAATAGTATTTTATTTGTTTTAAAAATAATCTTTTTTCTGTGTGGTAACTGCAGTTTTTAAGTTTTTTTCTTGCAACGTTAAACAAAATTTGTCGAGTAAGACTTCTGCCTTCCTCTCTTTTGTTCACAAAATAAATATATTTATTTAAAACTGATGTTCAGTTCCGAAGTGCCAGTTCGTATACGATATATATATATATAGCATATATGCTTTAAATGTAGGTACATACGTATTGTTTACAATTCTTAAATTCACACAATACTATCGAAGTCCGCCAGATGGCGCGCGCGTTGCGAAAACCCACATACTTCCACACATATACCGCTTATTGCCTATATTTTGTATAGATGACCTTGTTCCCGTTTCTAAGGGGAAATTTGTTCTCGTAGTGTGCCATTTTCCTTTATGCGCATAGTCAGTTGATAAGTGGGGGATTTAAAATATATGATACCATAGACATCACATAACATAGATAGAGAAATTAATACGTCCATTTATGATATATCATAATCATTCGTATACGAATTGTCAACTAAACAAAATTTAGGTTATAAAAAATTTTTCTAAATTATTTGGTTAAGCTTACAAACATTTTTGTGATTTGGCTTTATAAAAAGCAAAAAGTGGCATAATATGCATATTATGTAAAATCCACTAAAATCTCGTTAAAACAATGGAAAAAAACAATGCCAAAACAATAATTGTTGATATACAACAGAAAACAATTAAGTATTGATATACAACAGAAAACAAACAAAATTGATAATTAAAATAACCATCTATAGATGTATACATATTTATATGTCTACCATAAAAATCTTTTGGCTATAATCGTGATCAAAAGACGATGCCATTATAAATCTAAAATATCATCATTTTGTGAGTATATTATTGTTAAATGCTTTTTTCATACAATTTATATCCAATTTATTAAAAAGTATTTATTATACTTCTTAAATAGGAACAAAAATATGTTATTTTTTTTTAAACCGGCAATGCAGCTGACGCATGCGCCTCAATGCCCGCTATACCCTGTGAGAACATTTCCCCTACTTTACCCCCACGAAATGGAAACAGTCTCAGTTAGAAAGATTTGTATATGTGTGGAAGTATGTGCGAAAACCCGATACCTATTTCTTTAGCGTAAGTAGGTATACAAAACGAAGTCTTCTGTTTTGGCTTGAATTAAAGTCAATTACCTATATACCGTATGCCAAGCCGGGTTTTGCAATTGCAAAATAAAATAGCCAAAAGAGGTAACAAGGACTTCTAAAATTTTATTTTGCAATTAAATTTCTGGGGTGGCAAGATACCTACTGGGGGGGCACTGCCACCCCCGAATTAATCGACTGCTTGTCGGTAGGTACAATGATTGTAGTACAATCACATACAATGAATACGGGTTCCTTCCTTGATCATCTATCGATATTTCCTCCAGGATTCTAATTGCTGCTGATGTCGCATTCTTACCACCAAAATTCTTTACACCGAGGCATCGCGATTCGCGAGGGTGGCTCCACCTGAAAACATAAACTGAAACCAGTATCAACAGTTCATTTGATCTAAAAACCTTCTGTATTCATAGACTTTTTAGTGAACGTAAATAAAACTCAAAATACTGCCACTAGCCTGAAAATCCTAGGGGTGGGGGAATTGTTCTGTGATTGGCTCTCACTAAAGCACCGGTAAAGGAACATTCCAACATGTTACGCCATAAAGTAGTTCCATATATTTTCTCACGCAAAGTTTTGAGGGAATTCTAAAGCTTTGGTGTTAGGATGACTTAAATATTGTTAAATGAAGTTTAAAGTTTATTTTGGAATTGGTTATAAGTTAAATGTGGGGTATAAAATGGTATAAACAACAAGTTGTTCAGAGAGTCTGCGCGTAGGAATATGCGATCAGTCCGGTTGCCATCTTTGCGCGTCTTAACCAAACCCCCCTCGACAGAATCGAGTGCGCTGTGAGATGCAATGTATGTCTGTGCGCGAATGTAACGATAAAGTGTTATTTTTCTATTAAAAACTCTCAAAAAGTGCACAAACTAAACAAAAATGTGTATTACGTGGCTAGTGTAATCGATTATTGTATGTGTTAGGTGTACTAAAAGTGTTTAGTGTGCCCCATGAGGGAAGTTAAACTAAAATGTGGATTACTAGCAACAAGACGGATTATTATTTTTGGATTATAGCATCTTCCACATTCGTACTTCTCTTCTTGGTACACACGGCAGCAGGTGAGCTACATTCCTAAGAGTTTACTTTCATAAAGTACGATTTAACACCAATAAACATTGTTTGTTTTTAACTGACATCGCGTAGAAAAAATTACCATCAATATAAACATAAATAATTAATTAAAAACATTGCAAACCAAGGGATTTTATTATGGAATATTTAGTTATGTATAACTATATTATATTATAATAGAAGTTATTAGTACATGGAGATGTTGCAACAATATCTACGTATAGGTATATACTATATAGACTATATAGACTATATATACTATATAGACTATATAGACTATAGTCACGGTTGTTAAACGTGTTGTCAGAGGGTTGCTTTTAGAGGGGTATAGGTATACCTATACCTTTACCTTTCTTGCCAAACGTAGCTAATATGTACTAACGGAGCCAAAAACATATTTTATAAACAAACCCCGTTTTTAGAAAAATGTGAATTTAAGGTAAATATCTTTCGTCTTAAATTTGTTTTGTTTTATACCTACCAACTTATAAGTTATATATAAGTTATATATAAGTTGGTATATCTACCTGTATTGGGATTAATTTAGAGATAATATTATATACCTATTGTAACTATAGTTTTTTTGTTTTTCTGTAAGAACTAATATAAGATTTTGTCAATCCGTTAAACTATAGTTTAACGGATTGATCTATAGATCTATATATAAGAAGTTTTAAGGAACTCTATAGAGTTCCTTAAAACTTCTAATTAATATTTGATCGTGTCACGGTATTTCCAATGTTTTGAAAAAGTTTGTGTCTTAATCAAGCATCGATACTTCCAATTTATGGTAGATAATGAAAATATCTTGGAAAGCTGTACCTATAGTATACTTACCTATTAAAATTTTAACTTAATAGTTTTTATTAAAATTAATAAATACAGGGTGTTTCATAATAAATGCGCAGGACTTCAGGATGTGATAGCTCATCCAAAAAGATGAAAAAAGTCGCTATTAACTTACCCTCTAAAATGCACAATTTTCGAGATACAGGGTGTTGAAATTTTAGAAAAAAAATCGTTTTTTTCGAATATCTCCGGAACCGTTTATCGTACAAAAAACAGCTTTTGTAAGCATTTTCTACTCAAAATAAGCTATGTTTTGTGCCAGAAAAAAATTTTTTTTACTCATAATTGGTGGAGATTTTGAAGGGGTAGCGGGTGTTTTTCTCCTCAACTTCTACGCCCCTGAAAAATGTACGGTTTTGGTCATAAGCTCTAAAGTTGACCGTTTTCGAGAAAAATCAACTTTTATGTTTAAAAACATGGTCCCTAGAAAATGCTTACAAAAGCTGTTTTTTGTACGACAAACGGTTCCAGAGATAATCGAAAAAAACGATTTTTTTTCTAAAATTTCAACACCCTGTATCTCGAAAATTGTGCATTTTAGAGGGTAAGTTAATAGCGACTTTTTTCATCTTTTTGGATAAGCTATCACATCCTGAAGTCCTGCGCATATATTATGAAATACCCTGTATAATTAATTAACATGAGCCGTCAACGGTCATTGCAATAACATAAACTTGAATGATGCAATACCGCTTATAAATTTTAATAAAAATTAATTGGTGCACATAATTCCGTTCAGGACCACCAAAGTCGCTATCTTAATCTTCATAAATAACAACCAAAATTACAGTCATAGGTAGTTATTACAATATTTTTCAATTATTCGTATGGAATATGTTATGGATTGGGTAATGCAAACCCAAATAAAGTACTCAAGTTTTAAATTAATTGGCATGCTGTTGAACCATTTGCTTTTCCAAGAACGTGTAAAATCTGAGATGAAGATTTTAATTTGTTAATGCGATAGATAATTAGTCTATTAGTAAGTAGGCAGTTTGCAAGGAATCTGATGACGTGCACTGCTAAGTGTAACGAACAGGTTTAAATTCGTTTTATTTCCGCGCTCTGCATGCTGTGTGTGAAATGCTCATTCTCTCAAACCATCGTGAAAAAAGAATATAGGTATTAATTACCGATGGCGATGGGCTTTTCTCTTAATAATTTACGATTAATTTTAAAGAAATCACCGCTTATAATCGCAATGAAATGTTAACGATCATTAGCGTACACTGCAGTGTAAATTTTCGGGACAACCTATATATACCTATAGGTAGTATATAGTATACATATACATATAGTATACTATTACCATTGATTAATATAATGGTAATAGTAGATAGTCCCGAAAATTTACTTTTATATAAATTGTATTTTTGAAAACTATAATTTAACGGATGTATTCATCCTATAGGATGAACCTATAGGTTACATCTTGCAATCCATGGATTGAATATATTCCGGATTTAGTTTTAAACCTAAGTTAAACTATAGTTTAAGTTAGGTTTAAGTAGAAAACTAAATCCTATTTTATAAATAGGTAGGTAGGTATTTATACAAGGTGTCCCTAAACTTAGTGGCATAAATTTAGGAGCAAGTCAAAATAAGACGAAAATCTAAATACCTATAGGTATACCTAAATATTTTTCCTAATTACGTATGTTTAAAAGATACAGGGTGATAAAGTGTTACTTATCATATATATCAGTATTTTTAATATAACTTCTACTATGGTAGGTAGTCTTGGCTAGGTAATATTTTGCGAACAGTCACTTACTTCCAAAACACATATTCACACATAATTATAATTGTTCGAGTGAACACAGTGAACAGGGGTTGCTTAAGCTTATTGTCCCACACAAACTTTGAGGTTAGGTTTTTATACCATTTAATGCAATTTTTCGATTACTCAGTTCGGCTATAGTATACTATTAAAAGGTGTACCGCTCAAACTTCGATAAAATAAATCGTTTCCGGGATATTCGAGATTACAATAATTGTTATATCGCATTAAAGGACTAAAAGGTATATGACAATTTTTTTAATTGAAAAAACCATATTTTTTTAATGTGACGGTTAGGTCATAAAGTCCCGAGGCTCAAAGAATGCCCTTTTTAGTTTTTTCAATTAAAAAATAAAATTTGTTATCATATAATCCTTTTAAAATATGCGATACCTATAACAATTATTGTAATCTCGAATATCTCGGAAACGGTTTATTTTATCGAAATTTAAGAGGTAGGTATACCTATCTCTAAATCTAAAGGTTCAAAAAACTTAATAATTAAGCATATATACGCAATCATGATAATTAATTTTTTGTCAAGTACTATTGCACTTAATTTAAAGTTCCCACAACTTTTACCTGTCGCATTTATTACAAAGCATCGTATAACTATTAAAATTAAAGTTACCCCATTGTTTTTTAATTTGTTTAAAATTATCTAACGCTTGTGCATGCAATTATTTTCCCAATTAAAGAATTGACAACTAAAATCACGTCGTATTTTTTATTAATCATAACTTTATGTGCGCCGTGGGGGGTTCAACCAAAAAATTCAATATTAGGACAACGGTTGACGTTTTTTCATAAGTTATGTGTGGTATTTATAAACCTTTGTTAAGGAGGCCCAAATTAATATTCAAAAGTTAAAACCTTCCTATTTGTTAAAAATTTTCATATTGTCAAAAAACGTTGCAACCATGGTTGTTTATTAATTAAAAAAAATTAGACACTTTCCATTTAGTTCTAGCCAATGTAAAATATTAAAATCTGTTTCCAATTATCGCTATGGCAAACAAAGCATTCTTTTCATTTTACTTATTTTTATCGATTTTTATTTATAAACTCATTAATTTTAAAATTGTTTTAGCATTAATTAATTCTTGTCTCTTTTTGGTTGAATAATTAGAACTGCGTGGGACTTTAATGTATCATAAGAAAATAGAAAGTTATTCCCACCGAAATATAAATAAGTCAAAGATATATACAGTGTGTCCACGGGTGGACTTAACTATCCTTGTAAAAAATTTTATTTTCAATTTTTCGAGGAAAAGTCATTCTTCATAATTTCTTTTGCTAGTTAGGTATATTAATCCGATTCGCGTTGAGAAACTTCTATTTTGTTATACAGGGTAAGCAAAAATACAGATTTTCAAAATTAAAAATTTTCAAATATTTTTTTTTTAATATTCAAAATAAAGATATTAGTTTTCAAATTTTAAAAAATAATTGTAGACATTGTAGACATGTCAGTTGAAAGCAACAACCTTGATTCATAATCACAACTGAGAAAGCAGTCAATTTCTACAAAATAATATATTCCTATAGGACCACTCAAGTTAGGACCTGACTCGATTTTATTTTTAAGAACAATTTAAATATCTTAGTAACAACTCGCATGAAAAAAATTCATTTGGCTTTTTGCTTTCTCCTAACAAGCTCTTTATATAAGCCCTTCAAAAAAAAGTATTTAAAAATTTTTAAATTTGCAAAATCTACAATTGTATTTTTTGTGCGCACCCTGTATATAACAAAATTGAAATTTTTCATTGTGAATGGTATTTATTTAACAAGCAGAAGAAATTATGAGGAGTGACTTTTCCTCGAAAAATTGAAAATAAATATTTTTACAAGTACCTATTATAGGTATAATAATAGTATAATAATAATAGTTAAGTCCATCGGTCGACACACTGTATATATATATATATAGGTTCTGCTTTAGGTTTCCACGGGCGTTATATTTTATATCTCAATTTAAATAAATAACTTAAGGTCGATATTTATTTAAATTAATTAGGTACCTATATTAAAATATTTATTTAAAAAAGTCTTAAACTAACTAATTAATTAATTACACTAATTGTAAGTGCCATAAAAACGTTTTTTAAACCACTTTTTTTTAAATGGATGCATCCATGAAAGCTACAATATTTAGAAATTTTATCTCCATTTTATGACTTTATGACTTATCTTTGTATTAAAAACTTGGTCATCATTTCTAAGGAACCTGGTACTTCCACCATCCTCTATAGATCTGGCAACATTATTCATATATTGGCTATATCCGAGGCTATATCTAGGTGTAATAATGGGGATAAATTTTCATTTGCTAAACATATCCAACATTTATTTTGA